AAAGTCGCTAAAGTCATCTTCCCTCTCTTCATTCTCTCTAAAATCACGCGATTGTGGTCCTTCAGACGGCGACATCGTGGTAGGTAAATAAATAAACTCCTCGAATTTCCATGGATCTCACACCGACTGTTTATTTAAAAATTGTTGGAGATTTTGAAGCTTTAGATCTACCAAATCATGCATATCGCAGATCTAGTAGAGAGATTGAAGGATATTACGATGAATACAATTGGTGTGATAGCATGATGGAGTTTCTACCAACAACAATTGGTGTGACTCTACCAACAACAACAAAGCATGAAACTCCCAAAAGAGAGCCACCAATACTATTTAAGCTTTCTTTCTCTACCAATAAATGCAAACTTTCCAAATCAGTCGTCAGTACCTTAGCATTAGTCTTTCCTTCCTTTCTCCACATCACCTTCCACGCCACCATTTTGTCATGGTTACAAGACCACTGTAAAATTTGTGACAAATAGTTTGAATTATCCTTTAATTTGGCCACGAATATTTCGTGTCTTGTGGCAACAAATTGGCACTAAATTTTACTAGTTGACGTTTAGTCAAAGAGGGTTTCGACCATTTTTTGCATAAATTTTGGGGGTGGTGTCTGATGTTAACGGGCTGTTTGTATAATTTGAGAGTACAATTTGGTTTCAGAAAATTCATCGATTCATAGGCACCTAATTTTGATGTACTTTTAGGCCGTTTTACGTATGGATGTACCGGCCCTTAAATTTTTGGGGCCTAAGGCAAAAAAAAAATTAATTTGGGATTTTCTAGAGAAATTTTTAAAAAGAATACCAAATGTTAATATTTTAAAAATTTGGGGGGCTATTATTATAAAAATCAATTAAATTGGAGACTTTTTTAATATTAATTAACTAAGAAATTTTAGAGGCCAGAGGCCAAAGGCTAATGTTTAATCTGGCGAGGCCGAGAACCGGCTCTATCATGTAGTATATCCATGTTAGGTAAAAATGCATTAGAAAGTTTAAAGTTTAATAATGCATAAATTAAGTTTTTATGTCGATCATGCCTAATTTATATTATATTAATTGTAGATGATAAAATCATGAGTTGCAATCAAATTTGCTAAAGGAAAATTTAGATCAAACATGCATATATACATGCAAGTAACAAATAACCTAATTTTTTTTGTAGGAAATGATTTAGCTCCTTGTAAATGTGCAAGAATTTTCTTTGTTTCGTTAACCTTAAAACAGAGTCAAAACAATTAAGAACTGAAATGTGTTAGCAGTGATGTGGCCATACCCTAATAAAGGAGAATGGGGAGGTTTCTTGAAAAAGAGGTTACAGCCCCAATGAATTTACAGGAAATTATCTTAAATTAGAGAGAGGCATGGCGTAAACAAAGGCTGAAACAAAACAGCAAAGCCCTTTATATTTTCAATGTAACTCTCTCTCACCTCTTTGCGGGAAACAAAAACTTAGACCTCAAGAAATTAACCCACAAAGATCAATTCAACAAAAC